ACAAATTGAATATTATGACCTCATCCAAGTGTTTTCCAAAGGATTATATGAATGCTTTTTAAAAATGCTGGAAAGGGGTGCCTGGGTGGCTCAGTTGGTTAAACATCTGACTTTGGCTCAGGTCATGATTGCATGCATGGTCCGTGAGTTCGAGCCCCACATCGGGCTCTGTGCTGACAGCTCAGGGCCTGGAACCTGCTTCGGATTCTGTGTCTCCCTCTTTCTCTCTGCCTCTCCCCGCTCATGCTCTGTCTCTCTCTCTCTCTCTCTCTCTCTCTCTCTCTCTGTCAAAAATAAATAAACATTGAAAAATTTTTTAACGCTTGGGGCACCTGGGTGGCTCAGTCGGTTGAGTGTCCGACTTCGGCTCAGGTCATGATCTCACGTTTCGTGAGTTCGAGCCCCACGTCGGGCTCTGTGCTGACGGCTCAGAGCCTGGATCCTGCTTCGGATTCTGTGTCTCCCTCTCTCTCTGCCCCTTCCCCACTCATGCTCTGTCTCTCTCTGTCTCTCAAAAATTAATAAACGTTAAAAAAAAATTTTTTTTAATTTTAATGCTTAAAAAGGAAAAACAGTACACAAATTTATAAGTAGGTTAAACCTCATAAAATCAACTACATCAGAATGTTCGGTTGAACGATGTTCAACTACAGGTCAATCCTGGTTATGTCCTAGGACAAAAATACTTACTATTGATATTTTTAAATCTAGTTTTAGAAACGAAAGACTGGAAAGAAATGTATCTCAATGAAAATAATGATCTCTTAGGACAGAGAGGACTTGGGGTGAATTAGATATTCTTTTTTGCAAATTTTCTTTCCATGCACACGTCACTGTGCAGCAGGACGCTGTGTTATTACTGGTGTGACGTGTGCCCTGCGGGGTCCGCGGACTTGCCATAGGTCCACGAGGAGCAGGCACCGCAGGTGTCCGGGCTGGGACTCACACAGGTACCTGAGACGCGTCGCCTCCAGGGCCGTCTCGCCTACGTCGGCCGCTGGTCATGAGGATGACGGAGCCCTCCCGCGTGCGTCCGGAGGCAACGCCATGTGCGTGTCTGAGAGAAGGGGCGCCAGACACGGCTCACGGGGAGGGAAGCGAGGTGGCGCTTCCTGCTGCCGGGAGAAGGCCTCCCCCGCCACCCTGTCAGCCAGAAGGCACCCAGTATTGTTACTTTACGGCAACCTTGTCATGGTGGACGGCGACTCAGTGCAGAGAGAGATCGGCATGGCCCGTGGGTGTGAACGCGTGGTCTGTGAGTTCCTCTCTCTAACAGGCTCGGATCCCAACTCCACGGAGCTCAGCTCCATAGTCAGCCACCATGCCAGCCCGTCTCCCTGAGGCCACTCACCGCCGGGAAGCCGGCCGAGGGTCACCCACACAGGGACCCCAGAGAGCACAGCAGGTCAGGGCCGTGGGGTCCCTAAGGTAGGATCTGGGACTCTCCAAAGGCCCTTGGAAAGCCATACTTTTTTTTTTTTAATGTTTATTCATCAAATTCAACTAAAGCAGGCTCCAGGCTCCCAGCTGTTGACACAGAGCCTGATGCAGGGCTCGAACTCACCAGCTGTGAGATCATGACCCGAGCCGAAGTCGGATACTTAACCCCAGCGTCCTAATGGCTAGGTGCCCCAGCCGTACCCACTTCTAAGGGATACTTTGCACGAGGAAGATGTTCTCAATAAAATGTTTCTAATACATTTGCCTGAATAGGAGGGATCACATTAATAATCTGCTATTCGACGAGACCTGTCCCTTCATACGCTGAAGTTTTTTTTTTTTTTCTTTTTTTTTAAGGCTCTACTGTGCTTTATACAGTAAAGCAAAACAAAAATAAAACCTTCCTTGAGCCGTCAGATACATACTACAAACACGCAAAGCCACAGGCCCTTCCCCAATCTGTGATCCCCACGGAAAAACCCCAAACATGCCCTTGTTAAACTACGAGAAACCCACAGGACCTAGCTCCATCGTTCCATAAGTACATGAATTTCTGGACTGAAGCATTGTACAAATGCAATAAAAAACATTATTAATCACTCAGTCCATGAAAAAAGTGACCTTTCTGTGCCTCATTTTCAAGCAACAGGAAATCTTATGGGCTTAGCTATCAAATTCTCTTGAGCACTGAGTAACTTATAAAATATGCTGGCATATTTTATAAAGTCAAAAAGCCATAAATGGTGGCATTGCTTTATGACATCAGCAGTAAATTCAGATTAATCTTTCCTATTCATGAGCTGCGTGTGGGATTCTTGCAAAATCCTCCTAAGACAGGGGTTCAGGCTTCGCCCAGGTCTCTTCTTTCCAGGGAAAACTCAGAACTCCGGGTGGGTACTTGGCATTTCTGTGTTGTTTTGCTGATTCACATCTACACGACCTACACAAGGTTCTCACGCAGAAGAATCTACGAATCAAAGGCCGAAAGGAATCACCCACCTCGGTGAGGCAAGAGCGTAGTGAAAATCTCATTAGTAAAGCTGCTCGACCACAGCCATTGGGATAAATTCAAGAAACTGCACAGCCCTGGCCTGCCGGCAGGCTTAGCAAACACAGGTAGGTGTCTCAGGCAGCCCTGGGCTCTCCCGGGGGTCGGTCTGATGCTGTGCTGGTGAGGCCGGGCTGGTTGGTTTCCCAAACAAAGAGGGGGACGTGCAGACGAGATAAAATACGTTCCTGCCTCCATTTCTCAAAGGCTCCTAATGCCATCACGTCTCAGGGAAGAGGGGTCACGTCTCCTGCTGGCTGGGTCAACAGGAACAGACTGGCCAGGTCGATCCAGACACTAAGAATTACATATATTTCTGTGCGTGACAAGGGCAGACAGCCACCCGCGTGTTGATCAACGCCTAATGAGACTAGAGACAAACCTCAGGAGCGTCCACGCCTATGGCTCTCCAGAGCAGAAGCAGCTAATTCTGGCGATTCTGTAGGGGGAGGAGTATGCTTTATCACTTCTCCCGAGTGATGCCGAGACCTGTCCTGCAGACGCCTGGTGGCCATGCTCGTGGAGAGAACAGAACGGGGAATGACAGGTGCTTCGGAGATAAGCCCCTTCGTCACGGGCTCGGCGGGCGGGCTCCAGGACCAGCGGGTCAGGGGGCACGTGCGGCAACACCACAGCCCAGTCCCAGATGGCGTCCACGTGGACACTGAGGGAATCTCGGGAGGTCGTTGAGCGCCTGCTGCACACCAGGCCCTCAGGACCCAAGGGAGCATCAGGCAGTCCCGACCCTCAGGAGCTGAGGCCTCTCACGGCAGCTTGGACAATGTGGAAGGGACACAGGACAGTCATTTGGCATCCTGTGTTAGCCAGGGGACGGGCGGCAGGGCAGGGGACCTGAGGCGAGAGTGGAAGGCGGGCAGGGCATGGCAGAGACAGGGCAGGGTGGTGACACTGGGCCATGAGGCCAGCCGGACCGTCACAACCCGAGCAGCCCCAAGGGTGGCAGTGACGGCATAAACACTCTGTTGGCAGCGTCCGGGACCCCCCGGGAAGAAGGGGAAGCAGCCCGCAGGCCCACGTCCCCAGCGGGCCCAGCTGAGCAGAGTGCAGGACGAGGCCGAGAGCAGAGCGAGGCCCCAGTGAGGGCTGTCCGGGCTCAGCGGGTCTCTCCCTGTCCCGTCGGAGATACGCAGCCGCCCGGGCGGGAGCAGGGGGCCCACTGCTCCCCGGGCCATTGCACATGGCAGGATTTGTTCCCCAAAGGGTCTCAACGTCTTGAAAAAATTGTTTGCGGGCGGAGGCAGGAAGTGACGTCCTTTTGAAGATAAAATTTCAGCCCAATACATGCAGGTCTGAACATCGCGTCTGTTCAAGTAACCCATCGTCATCAGCGCACACAGGTCGGCCCCCACGGGCCTGTGCCCCCAGCGCCCCTCCCGGCACGGCCGTGTCACCTCGCATCCGTGCCAGTTTGGGCTTCGCACACCCCACCGCGGTTTTGACTTCATGAGGCGACTTCTCCCTCCAGGCCCTCACGGCCAAGGGCTGTATTTCATTTGTAAGTGAATGCCAAGACCGATGAAGTGATGCAGACGTTAAAACCCACGGTGCGAAGGAAGAGAGGCCCCCGCTGTGGACCACCTGCCTCCTACCTGTAACACTTAAAGCTGACACGCCCCAGTCGCCCTGCATCGCCAGGGCCTCGTGCCAGCCTCACTCTGGGGAGCCCTGCTCGACCTCCCGCTCCGGGGGAGGTGGGGTCTCCCGACACCCGGCCTCAGGGCCCGCGGCACCTGCTGTTGGGAGGGGCCGGCCCAGGAGGCGGCCTGGGGACAGCGATCGACCAGGGAGGCAATCTGCTCCCTCTGCCAGGCCTCCCAAGGCCACCAGAGTGTCCGTGATCGTCACCACCACACAGGGCCCCCGCTACCGCGTTCAGCCTCATTTTGTGAAGAAGCCCAACTGGGCTGTTAGAGCTGACTCATTTTATACCCAAGAGCCAAAGCTGGAAATAAAAGTCATTGGAAGGAGATCTGGTTCTAAAATGTTTCTCTCTTAAATTCAAACCAAGGTTCACAAGTCAACTATGATGAAGACATCCTCCTTTTACTAAAAATAGCTGAACGGATCCACAGGCGTGACAGTCCCGGCTTGTCCAAGTTAGAACAGGGGACGCCCCTCTGGGGGGCACGGGCCCCGAGACCTGGCCGGGCTGCAGCAGGAAGCTTAGCAACACAGGTGCTGTCCGCACACCACGCCAGTGCCCGTCCCCCACCCGCCTCTCCGGGGCCGGCATGAGCGGCGGGGAGGGGGCCGGGCGACAACCACAGCCCTCAAGACCAGAAGCAGGGGCCCCTTTTCATGTCGCTTCAGCCTCAAGTCTTTTGGCACCTGAGTTTCACTCAGCCCGGTGCCCCGCGCTCAGTGCGGGAGGAAAAGCGTCCCTCGGGCCGCGGGGGACATCGCTCGCTGAGTGGCTTCCGAGGGGAGCCGTGATCTGCATTCGGGACCCGCCCCCTCGCTCCAGGAGCACGTCTCCGCAGCGGTTCCTTACCCCTCGCTCCAGGAGCATATCTCGGAAGTGGGTCACCCGCTCCTCCAGCGGCAGCAGGATCTGGGGAGGTGGCGTCTTGGTGTCCTTGTCCGCTCCTTCTGCCTCCTCTGGCCCAGGACTCGCGCGGCCTTCTGTCCTTTAGGGCACGAGACACAGACAGTTAGCCGTGCCCTCGGAGACCCACCTGCCAACCCCTGAAAGTCCCCCAGGAAGCTCTTTAAGAAGCAGACACTCTGAGAACCTTTCAAAGCCTGGCGCAGGCAGCCCAGCAAAGGTGGCGATTTTTGCTCTGGGGCGAAGACTGCTTTGTTGCGTTTGGGGCAGAGCTGAGGCTGAGACCCTGACCCCAGGGGCGCCGGCAGGGAGCGAAGGCAGCGGCGGGTGCGTGCGAGGGCCCACGAGGTGGGAGGAAGCCCAGAGTCACCGTTTCACTGCCTAGACCCGGCCGTCAGAGGAGGTGAAGAAGCCTTTCCATCTGACAAACCACGGGAGCCCACACCCGGCTCTCTTCCTGTTGTTTGGGTTTGTTTCGTTTCAGGGAAGACCTTCCTTTTGGACAAATGCAGGAAGACAATTACCGGAGACCAACCCGCCGACACTCTGCGTACAGAAAACGCCGTCCCGGGGTCTAGCCCGACAGGGAGATTTCAGTGACAACAGGGGGAACTCGACCCCCACCCCAGGCAGTCTGCGCGGCGATCGGTGCAGAGTGGGACCCGCAGGCCCTGGAGCTGTTCCCTCCCTCCGGTTCCCCCCGGCCCACAGCCACCGGCCAGACGCAGCGGGCACAAGCCAGGGCCCGGCGGGCACCAGGGGATCCAACAAGCCACCTTTACCAGGCTGGCGGCTGAGGGGAAAGAAAGAGCCCACTCTCGCGAAGCACCAACCTGGCACCTGCCTTCTGTTACACACCCGGCCGCTCGATGGTGCTCTCGGGTCCACAACTCAATTCCAGCAGCATTTGGGAACCTGCTTCCCAAACACCTGAGCATCCGTTGCTGCGAGATGTTCAGGGAACAGCAGACATGGCTCTGCCGCAATGCCCCTCTCACCCTCTGTTCCCCGATGGGAACAAGCCCGTCCAGCCGCCGCGCCTGCCCCGCCTCACAGCCTGGGCTCTGCCCTGAGGCATGTTCTCCCCCTGCCCCGGCCTGGAGAGCCACGCGCTCTGACCCCCCGGAACCCTCTGCTGGGCCTCCTTCTGGCCCACCCTGCCCCACGCTTCCCCACAGTCAGGTCCCACGGCCAGTGACTCCCGCAAGGACGGTGCAAATCCACTGTGTCCCGAGACCCCCCGGTTCAGAGAACCTTCGCTTCTGATGCGCTTTGGTCAGGTTAGACCAGCAACTGTAAAGAGAAGTCCCCTGGGAGGCGCCTGGACTCAGCACCTCCTGCGGGCCCACCAGCACCTACATGGAGACGTCAGAGCAGAGGATGTGCCCCTCAAGAGCATGGCACGTCCCTGCTTCTTTGCAAACCCAGCCTTACCCTGGGAGTTAGTCAGTGAGAGTCACTTACGCCAGATACAGGGAGGGGCTTCCTGACACAGGTGTGGCATGGTGCCCCCCCAAGGGGACTGCGCTCCTGGGGGACACCCAGCGGTGCCTGGAGACATCGGTGGTTATCACTGCCGGGGAGGCGCTGCTGGCACCTGGAGATGTAGAGGCCGGACGCGCTGCTAAATGCCCTGCCTCGCACAGGACAGATGCCCGCGAGGGCTTGCCCGGCAAATCTCCACCATCCACGTGTTTGGGGAGGAGGGGGGCAGGCCCACTGAAGGTCATACCATCACTTAGTGGCCGGGACCAAGGTGGTCCCTGCCTCCTGACACCTGCTTTTTCCATCACTGTCTATCCAAGATACCGCGGAAATCCATTAGTTACCGGCTTCAGGATGTGCCGAGAATATACAACGTTCTATGTCTAACACTCACCAGGGTCGTGCTATGGCTTAATCCAACCTAATACAAAATGTGCGAAGGGAAAAAAAAAGAAAAAACATTGGCTCAGCCCATTAGGGAATCTTATTTATAGACCAACTATTTCAGGAGAACTTACATTCTTTGCTGCTTATGTGATTATGTGGAATTTCAAGAAAAAGCAAATTACCAGTGGATTTGCAATTGTATCATAATCCAAAGGGTATAATTAGGAGTTCTTTGTAATAAATTTTCATTAGTTAAAAATAGAAGTGTGGAAACAAGACACGTATTGTAACTTGAAATAAGATTAATAGGAACGTTGTAAGCCCAGCAATGATCACATTTTACTGCTCACTCAACACAATACTTTGTTCAGAGGTGCTGGGTGCCTTCCATATTGTGAAGCTATCGGTTCAATTAGAATTGGTCAAAAGTAATGCAAACGTGCTAAATATATTTTTAATAGTCTCATGGCTGAATGAGTGTTGTACCTTTACCAAAAAGCAAACTCTAGTACTTGGGATACAACTAGCTTCAGGCCAAATCACCAGGGACGAGAGGCAGAAACCCCAAGGACACGGTAATTGGTGCCCACAGGTCCTGCTGGCCGGGTGGGTGGGAAAGGCCTCTCATCCGGAAAGAGTTTTGCCGCATGGCAGACCCCTCGCCAGGTCGACACCCTGCTTTGGGAAATCTTCCAGGTCAAGTGCATAGGTTGAGAAGGGCCTGGTCCTGCCCAGCCTTTCCCGCAGAGCAGGGGTCCCCAAGTCTGGGCCGCGGTGCTGGGGTCCCTTCACTCTGAGGGGCAGCTCCCTGGCTCCTGGCTCCCTCTGCCCTCTGACTGCTACTGAGCTTGTCCAGCTGAACCGCTAATGGCCTGCGTACGTGAGCACGAGTGGCGTCCACCCGGCCGCTAAGTCTGTAGCGACAGGGTTTGCCGACCTCGCCCATGTGCACAGGGCAGCAGGCTATTTGGTAAAACTCACCAGACGCATGCTCCGTGCAACCAGATTCTAGACGCGGCACGTCTGGTCACTGTTTCCTTTTTGTGGATGACAACCTTTAATGAGCTCATCTGAGGCTGAGGGAGCTCAGGCCGCGGGACTTTGCACATCTGCTGTGTGCCCAGAGGCCACCTCGGACTCGCAGACGCGCCTCTCTCCAGGAGAGGAGGGGAAGAGGCCCAGAGATGGCACCGTCACCGTAGCAGGTGCGCGCTGGGGGGCATGGTGCTCAGCACGTCTGAGGCACCCGCTGTTGACCCCAGTGTCCATTCGCCAGTGTGCCATCATCCTGCCACCCCACGGGGAAGCTCACGTGGGGCTGGACCCATCAAAGGCCAAACCTCGGTTTGCACCGACGGACTGAGGTCCGCACACCTCAGGGTCCTCATGTGGGGCGATGACAGTGCTCACCTCACCGAGCTGTGAGGATTCGTGAGATAACCTGTGAACCCCTCCGAGCACCCGCCCCCCTCCCCTCTCCCCTCCCCTCCCCCTTCTAACACCATCACGCGAGAGGCTGTGCACAAATAGAAGGCATTCACCGTAACGCTGCCCCGACGGCAGCACCGGAGCAGAAGGGAGGTGAAGGCCGACGCCCGGTTCCAGAGAAGCAGCCACACGTGGATGTGCAGAATTCAACGTGCTTCTGAGCCTCCGTGGGGACGGCTTGTTGCAAACTCTTGGGCAAATTATGGAAGTTCTCTGGACCTCGTTTTGGTAAAACCAGGTGGTTTGGACAAGACGATCTTGACACGCCTCAAAGCACCTCCATTCTGTGATGCAAATGGGATCCTGCTCGCTTAGTCCTGGTGAAATAGTCCAGCATCTGGATTCTTCCATAGATTAGCTCTGCCTCCTGGTTTTGACTATAAATTTGGTAAGAGGCTTCCCACATCTTCATCCAGATGGTCATAAAACGTGCAGCAGGAAGTGCCCAGGGCAGTGGACTCTGGAGGGACCCGCCAGCCCCGCCCCGAGGCGACCCTGCGTTCTCCCAGGTGGGCGATGGGCAGGGGGGCGGCCACGGCGGGAGCAGTGTCCTGGCAGCATTGTGTCTGCACGTGCCACGGCCACGGCCACCACTGGGGTCCCTGCAGGAGACGGCCAGCCTGCGGTGCTCTCCAAGGTGCTGGTGGCCCGTCTCAAGTGACCTTGGTTTCATTTAAACCACCTCTCTCTCCCTCCTTGTCCTTGGGTCCGCTTCCCAGGGGGAGGGTAGCTTGGATGGTATTTCTGCTTTACCACCATCGTCTGCAACCGGTGACCACTTGGTGCCACACTCTGCCGAGGGCCGGCTGGCCGGGCGATGAGCTGACAGGGGTGGTTCCATCAGGTAATAACGACTGTGTCTGGTCTTTGTCCCTGCTTTCTTTGTGAATTTCCTGAGTGACTGGGGTGTCCTTGTTAAGGAGCCCGTTTTGGCCATCCCTGAGGTTACGAGACATGGTGACTCGGGGTGTGCCCTCAGACAGGTTCAAGGGAGGGCCAGGCCCACTGGAAACACCAGCACGTGAAAAGAGGGCTGGAACCCTCAGGAAGGGAGGGGGCTGGAAGTCGAGTTCGGTCACATGGCCAGTGATTCAATCCGTCCTGCCTATATACCAACACCAGTGGGTTTGGAGGAGCCTCCTGGCTGGTGGGCCGGTGTCCCAGGAAGGAGGTGCACCCAAAATCCACAGGCACAGAGGCCCAGGACCCTTCCAGAACTCACCCTATCCATCTCTACCATTTGGCTGTTCCCGGGTTGTGCCCTTTATGATAAAACCACAACCTGAAGTACAGTGCTCTCCCGAGCTCTGTGAATCATTCTAGCAAATCATCAAACCTGAAGAGAGGTTATGAGAACCCCCGGATTTACAGCCAAGTCAGACAGAAGTGGGGACAGGCTGGAGACCCCCCCATCTGCTGGTGTCTGGAGTGGAGGCAGTTTTGTTTGGACTTCACCTGTGGGGTCTGTGCCGACTGGGGGCAGTTACGATCAGACTCGAGTGTGGGACACCAGGTGACTCTCAGAGAATCACCCTCAGAAGGCAGGCACAGGTTTTTGGGTTTTTTTATTCTGTCAGCAGGTGTGCCCGAGGGCCTGCTGTGTCGCCCCCGGTGGCCAGGGCAGGCCGCATGGCTCCTGGGCTCCTGGGTCATTCATGGCAGACCCCACCCCCCCCCGCAACCATGCAGCACTCGGCCAGGATCACCGATGGGTGCCTTTCA